TTTGTTACTATAGCAAAATATCCAAAGCAGAATAACTTGCAAAGTAAAGAGGTTTATTTCTCTTGGAGCTTTGAAGAATGAAATTCCAAACAGCATGTTGCTAGCCCGGGAAAAATTTGTCTGGCTCCATCACCTCATGGGATTTACCGGCTGCAGCCCAGGGACTGCAGTGTCAAGGCAGATGCGAACATGTGAAGGAGAGATCACGTCACAAAACAGGAAGCTGGAACCTGGAGGGACCAGTCCTGAGATCTTCACCAGACCTTACCTCATAAAGGTCCCTTTGACTTCCACACCCTATCAGGGTCCTCTTGCAGCACATAAAGCTTCGAGGGACACACTGAACCCACACCCAAAACCCTGCAGGGACTGACATGGAGCTTGCGCCCAGGTCAGTGAGGCTGGCCCTCCTTGTAGAAGCTACTGGTCTATGTGCTAGCTCACACCCTTACATCGGTCACACACTGACTTCCTGTGGGGGCTCACTTAGGGTTATTCCTCTCTCTAGACTTATGTTAGTATGTTGCTCATCTTTAAACTGTTTTCAGTTTAATTCTATTGCATTCTCTCCCCTTCTCTCCCTCTCCCTCCCCTTCTCCTCTCTCTGTCTCTGTCTCTGTCTCTCTCTGTCTGTCTCTCTCTCTGTCTCTCTCTTCTCTCTCTCTCTGTCTCTCTCTCTCTCTTTCTCTCTGACACCAGGAGTCAAATGTAATTTCAAATGAATTGTGCAATTCGGCAATCCTTGTCTTCGTGCAGCATCTTCCTGGACCAGCTGATTAACTGTCTGATTGAAGTGACCCAGACACATCCCTGTCATCTTGTCATTTTTATCAGCTAAAACTTGCCATCTGTGCTCCTCATTGCCAATTTGGAAGAGCACTCAGGGAACCTAAGCTCGCTCGGCGCTCTCTCTCTCTCTCTCTCTCTCTCTCTCTCTTCTAGCTTTCCTGCCCAGCCTTGCACTTCCTCCAGGTCACCTGCGTCCTGCCTCATTTTTTAGTTTGTGCATGTATTTATTCCCTGTGTGACCCTCACAGACCCCTCTGCCATGCGGCTCTTTTGTGCACCCCCTAATGGGCCCCCCTGAGAGGGAGTCTGTCCCCTACAACTACCTTGCACTGTTCAGTCTACTCTCACGAGCCTCCAGGTCAAGCCACCTGCTGCTGCTTCTCCTGGCCCCTGGCAGGTGTGCTCAAGCGCGTCTTTGATTTCGTTGAACAGAGCTTGGTAGGCTGAGGATCATCCCAGTGGAAGAGAGAACAAAGTCAACCTTCACTGTAGCCTCGGTGTTAAACACCCACAGGACAATGGGATCTTTTGTGCCTTTGAGAGTGGCACCAACGTTTAACTCCTGCATGTCTTTACACTAAAAATATCTGTCACTTTTGCCGCCCTTAAGTTGTATTACAAAGACCCCTTACTTGTGTAGTCCAAAACGAATAGGCCTTTAGAAAGAGATTTATGTAAGAAGACAAGAAGGAAGGCAAAACTGAATCAGCCCACTGCACCTGCTGGTCACTGCCTGGTCCCACCAACTTCCTCCCCCAAACATTTGTGGAACCCCCCTCTGCTCCCCAGCCCCACTGCCCATCCCAGGCCAGGCTACAGCAAGTATTGTGCAACTACAACTTTCTTGCCAGTGTTACTATTGTCTCTCCACCAAGAACAGTAGCCAGCTGGTCTATCTGATGCTCCGGCTCTCCCTAGTCTGTCCCCACATGCACTTGAGCTTGAGCGGTCATTTGAAGCACAGGGGCGCTGTAAGCACTTGTAGCTTTCTGTTCCTCTGGGAATGTGGCAATGGCCCGCTATATGGCTGAGCCTTGGGGACTTCCTCCTACCTTCTTCCCTCAAGGATGCTCGTTGCCTGTCAGACATACAGCTCAATGTGCTACCCCTCCCTTATGGAGGCTTTGTGCAATCCACCAGCTCTGCCTGGCATCCTCCAGCCCTTTGCCAATGTACCTGCACAGCTGTCCCTTGGTCAGTATCTGTAGGGACTGATTGCAGGACATCTCCTTACCGGTCCCTGGTATGGATACCCAGATCCACAGGATACTCAAGTTCCCTGAATAAAATGGTATGGCATTTACATAAAATCCAAACTCATCCTCCCTTCAACTTTGAGTCATCTCCAGATGACTTGTGATACCCGATATAAATGCTATGGAATTCATTTAGGGAATAATGGGAAGAAAAAACCTTGTCCATGTTTAGTATCGACACAAATTTTTTCTTTTCTGTTTTGCATATCTTCTATCTGTGATTGCTTGACTCCAGAGATGCAGATTCTGCTTACCTTGCTGCCTTCCTTGGTCTCTCTGAGTCTTCCCACCAGCAGGTCACAGCATCACATCTGGCTCTCACATACATTAGTCTCATGCATATGGAATGTGAGTGGGTCATGGGGCCCCATGCCCACGAGTGGATTCACTCACTTGTGAGTTCAGTAGCTGAGTGTGCGGGGTTAGCAGTGGGGCCTGATGGGAGGTGAGTCCCTGGGGCTGTGACCTGGAAATCCCACCTTCCTGCCCCCCCCCCCCGCCTCTGCCTCCTGGCTCCCATGGGGTAAGCTGCTGCCAGCTATGGACTGAATCCTCTAAAAAACATGGACCAAGACACATCTCCCCTTTTAAAAATTATGGATGTCAGGTATTTTATCCCAGCAAAAGCAAAACGACTGATACCACTGGCCTACAGGGGGAGGTAATTAAGCACACCACGGGTGGTGGTCTGGAGTGGGAGACAGAAGCGAAAGCTGGACATGAGTTGTGCTGGGAAAATACACCTTGAATGATGCAAGCTGCAGGTTCTTTAAGCATGTACTAGATTTTTAAAATCCTATTTAAATGTCTGTCGATATAGTAAATCAGCCCTAAGATAGAAAAACAAAAGTTCCCCTGTGTTCCTATTTAGTGATGGGATTTGCACTGATTAATCATTCTTTCATCATGACACACAGCAATTGATGAATAACTGAATTCCTTAGGCTTCTGCATTGTGGAATCAGACTTCCGCTGGGCACTCTAAGTTCTTACACTTAGGTACAAAATAAGCTTACTTGGAATGCAAACTTCCCACTTCCTGGCCTGCACATTTGAAGGCAGTAAATCCGAGTGGACCTGAACTACACATGTCCAAGGGAACTTGCAGGGGTAGGAAGGGGGCTCTCAAATGCCCAGGCTGGCATTTGAAAGAGGAATCTGTGGCTCCACTTTGAGAACTGCTGGTCTAAGCACTAATAGTGCGGCCTTAGTGTATTTGGTTTCCTGAGGGCACTCTGAGCCTCCCATCAGCATCCGGTATAAAGAACATTTACAATTTAATGGAAAATGGAGTGAGAAAAATCACTTCCTAGGGCTCCGATTGAAGTTGGCCCAAGAGCAAGTATGGACAGTGTCCCATTAGGGACGTTCTCAGCGAGGCCTGAACTCAGGCCTTCGGCATTTGCACGATACACTGTAGCCCTGTCTGAAGCGTTTACTCTACACTGCTCAAGGTGGCCTGACAGCCGCAGTGGCATCAGAAATGGAAAAAACATTCGAGAGTTATCCACGGCAGATTGGCCACCATAGAGGGCGGCATCCCAGCACATCTTCACCCGGGCTCTTGCCACCTGAGAGGACCTTGTGCAATGTGGGGTGCACCATGAACACTCCTTCATGACAATCACAGTTGCATAGTGGGATAAGATGGTGGGAACCTGGTTGCTTTCTATCCCATAATAGGAATCATTGCCTGTACTAAAGCGAAAGCAGTAACCATGCTTCTGCAGCAGAGAATCAGCACTCTGAGGCTTTCTTGTTTCGATGAGGGATTTGCTTCCTGCAAATGCTCTCTTCACTGGGAACCACTGAATTCTATGCTTTGGAAGACAGCACATATGCACGATGTTTAATGGAATTAAATGTATCCAGAAACTGCTCCCCATACATATTTTAAGTTTGCCGTGTGTTTCTCTGTACATAGTGGACTGTAACTTAATTTGATGTGTAAAAAAGAGTGCAGCCCTGTCCATCTGTGTCCCATAACCGTGTTTCCTTTTATCTGCCTTTTATTTTGCCCTTTAATTTAATTATACTTTGGGTTTCTCATGTAAGAGAAACCATACGATAGTTAAGCTTGCATGTCTGAATTATTTCACTTAACACGTGGTTTCAAGGAGAGAGTTGGGGAAGAGTACATAAAAAAGAATTTAGATATGCCTGCCATGCACTTGTACCAAATTCCCACAATGAAAGCAGTCATTGTGTATGGCAAACATGCACTACTAGGAAATAAATAGACTGTAACCAACCTCTTATAACAAGAAGCCAAGTCTCAGCCAATCAAAAATGGCCAACTATTCAAATCATATTTAAATAAGACAGACCAAGCTGCATTTTCCCTGGATATAAACTTAACCTGCTCATGTGATGCAGTGGAGCATTATGAATTATTTCTTATCTACACTGACACCCAATTCTAACTGCAAATTCAAATCTGCAAAACTAAATTTGTTGTAGTTTCCTTTTAACAATGGTCTTCAGCACGTCGGCCTGAAGGGAGGGAAAGGAAAACAGTGTTCAAAGCGGGGAGGACTGGTCATCAGCCCCATAAGCCCTCAGGAGCGGTCCTCCTGACACCTCATTCTTCCCCATGGAAAGAGTTGTGTCACCTGTTACCATCTATCTGCTCCTGTATCTTCGGGGGTACAGGTAATAACACTGACCAAACCTCCAGGCTTAACGTCAAAGGATAACTGTCAACACTTCGAGGAAATGCCAACAGTTTTCCAGATGGGCACACCACTTTACCCTCTACCTCTGTGTATAAGAATTTGGATCCTCCCACATGCTCAGCTCTTGGTATTCTGCACTAAAGAGCAGGAACACTGTGGTGTCCTCCAACCATCCATCTCAGAAGCGTTTCAGCAGCTGGCTCCCAATAATGGAGATGAGATGAGCTACACAATGGAAAGACTCGTGCTAACTCCAGTTGAAAAACAAGAGGCCATGAAATGTAGCAAAAGCTCTTTAGAAGCAAACCGCCACTCTCAAGAGGAATGCACATAAGGAAGAAGAAGAAAATCAAGAGCCGAGTGAGGAATCAAGATTTGAGTCGTAGCAAACCAAGAAACCAAACACGGTCTGCTCTAAACATGCGGGCCTGAAGGAACAGCAGCAGCTTCGGGACTTTCCGTGAACAAGAACTGAAAGGAGACATGCAGGTCACTGGTGTCGAGACAGAAGGCCCTCGTGTAATAAAGGAGTCGGGGAAGCATCGCTGCAAGATGTTGTAACCCCACATTGACATCTGAAATGACAACAGCAATGAGAATCAGGATTACATGAAAAAAGAAAAAATTTAAAGGAAATCAAGGATTTCAGGGAAATCCTTCAAATGACTCAAGATTCACTTTTAGCCTCATGAAAGATAATGAATAATAAAACACAATCTTTGCAAAGCATTAATCTTTATCAGTTTTTGTTAAGTGATGTGACCCTGAGAAGAGCAGGAAACTTTTGTGGCACAATTTAAAAAGCCAGTTGATTGCATTAACTAGTGAATTAAAGAACAGAAAATCAAAATCTCGATAGCCCATCACTTATTACCTTTAGCTCCTATATAATGCACTAACATATCACCATTTTATTATTATTATTATTATTTGGTACCAGAGGTCGAACTCATAACCTCACACTTGCCAGGCAGGTGCTTATGCCACTGAGCTAAATCCCTGGCCCTAGCATATAACCATTTTAAAAGGTGGTTTCTGAAAATGAGTAATAAATGAATATAGGACTTATTCTTACTAAAATGTAATTCAGAAGATAAATGCATGAAAGTCTCACAAGGACATCATAGGGTAACACCCGGTTCACTCTGAGGAATGACCGCTTTCCCAAGTGGCTGCAGAATTTTACACACTCACTAACAGTGCATGAGGATTCTAATTCTCCCTCATCCTCTTTCAACTCTTGTTGTTCTCTGTGTTTATTATAGCCACTTATATGTTTATAAAATATCTCATTATTGTTTTGGCTTGCATTCCCCTAAAAATTAATAATGTGATGAAACCTTTCCACATTTGTGTTGACCTTCTGCATATAATTTCTCTGGAGAAATATCTGTTCATCTCTTTTGCCCATTTTAAAGTGACAGATAATTTTAAAGTGATTTTAAGGACACAGTCTTATTTTTAAGTAGTGTAACAGTAAGTGTTCTCCAGAGAAACAGAACCAATAGAATACCTATAATTATACACAGGAATGGTTAGGTTGATTTGCAGGATCGCAGAAACTGAAAGGTCCCACAGTGGCTGTGGAGGCAGGGAAGTGGATAACTGTTCATTTCAAGGTACTGGAAGCCTTAGAGTAAAAGAGAGAAACTGCAGCTCCAGTTTAAGACTAAATGCTTGGAAGCCCCATGTCTTGGTTACTTTTTACTCATCGCTGAGACAAAATACCTGAAGCCCAAAGTTGCGAAAGGAAAGGTTTATTTCTTACAGTTTTTGGAGGTTTCAGTCCACACTCAGTTGTCTCCAAGACAGGCAGGCATGGCTGGGCTGCAGTTCATGGCGGCCGCCAGCAGCAAACTCAAACCAGCAAAGAGAAAAACACACCTTCTTCCTGCCATTACATCACATCCTGGCTCCACCCCTATATGGGTGGAGCACTGACACCATCAATCCAAGCACTATACAATGAACCATCACAAATGAACAATGCAAACTCATGAGGCCTGGGGGACACAAACATAAACCATGACACCCCAGGAGAGCAGCTAACACAAGCCTGTGGTCAGAGACTGAAGACACTAGATAGTCTGATGCCCGTGGGCAATAGCAGCAGAAAACCTACCTGCCAGGAAGGAAGCGAATGCCCCCTTCCTTCTGCTTTTTTGGTCCCCCTGGGCCTCCAGCTGATTGGGTGGTGGCATCTGAATTAAGGGCAGGTCTTCCTCACTCAGTTCACTGACCACACGCCAGTCTTCCTGGAAATGTGCTGACTGATGCACCCTGTACCTTACCAGTTCCCCAGGCACTGCTCAATCCAGTCAAACTGACATTCAAGAGTAGCCACTACAAGTTCTTTACTATCTAGACACAAGCCCTTTGTAAGATAGGTGACTTAAAAGTTCTTTTTCTGAATCTGTGGCTTGCATTTTCACTTCCTTAATGGTATACTTGTAAATGGAAAAGCTTTTAATTTGTATAAAATCTAACAATTCTTTTCTCATTTTTGCATTTGGAGTCATAGTTAAGAAACCATTTGCTGAAGTCCAGCACACAAGCGCCAGCCTGGGGAGAGTTTAAGATCATCGCTCCCAGTGGTCAAGGACTCACCCAGCTCCAGCCACACTAGACTGGGCTTGGGAGGTTTTGCGGCCAGACTAGACCATGCCCAGTGACCTTCTTCAATCAGGGGAGCTGAGGGCACAGGAAGTGAGTTCCAGCACATTGGTGATTGCTGGGGAGAGCTTTGGACCATCACCCACAGTGGTTAGGAACCCACCTAGCTTCCTGGAACCCTAGAGGTGGCACAGGAGGTCCTGTGGGCCTGACTGGACCATGCTCAGCAACCTCCATTCAGTCCCAGGAGCTGAGGGTTTCCAGCAGGCCCAGGGGAAGCCTTGGAACAACACTTGAAACACAGAAATATAGGAAAGTGACAAAACAAAAGACCAAAATGCAATCTCAAATCTCCAGCCCATCCCAAGAAAGTCTAGGAGCCACGTACATAGAAGAAAATACATGCCATACACCTGAAATACCTGAAATAAAGCAGCAACTCTGGGAATTTTTAAAGGAATTCAAATTAGAAATAGTCTCCCAGGTAAAAGAAGAAATGATAAAAATAATGAAAGAGATGCTGAATACATCTAAAGAAGACACAGTTAAAAAATCAGAGGAACAAAACAAAAAGAATTCCTGGAAGAACAATATGAGAAACAAACAGAATACATGAAGCATATTCAAAGACATATACAGGAAATCAAAACTTCCATTGAAAGTTGTCAAAACTGCCTCAATGAAAGTGAAGATAGAATTTCAGATCTCGAAGACAAGATTGCAGCTAGTGAACAGGAAAGGAAAGATCTTTTAAGAAACCATTTACTGACTTAATATTATAAATATTTACCCTTGTGTTTTCTCTAAGAGTTTTGGTTCAAAACTTTAGGTCTATGATTTATTTTGAGTAAAGTTTTATATAGCAGGAGGTGGGGTTTACCTTCATTCTTTTGCTTGTGGGTGTCCAGTTGTTTCAGCACCATTTGTTAAAAGATTTTTCTTTCAACCATTAGTTTATTTTGACATCTTTGTAAAGTATTGTTGGCCATACATATAAAGTTTTATTTCTGGACTCTTAACTCTAGCACGGTGATATGTCTATCGTATGCCAATGTTGCATTATCTTGTTTATTGGTGCCTAAAACAGAGCTTTGAAATGCAGGAAATATAAGTCTTTGTTCCTCGAGATTGCTCTGGTTATCCTGTATCACACATGAATTTTACAATTAGGCTATCAATTTCTACAGGAAGAGCCAGGTGGAATTTTGATCAATTTGGAGAATGTTGCCATTTTAACAATATTAAGCCTCAGCATCCCAGCTCTGATAACTCATTCAGTAATCATTTATCAGTTGCAAGCCACCTCCCAAAAGAGTACAAAGCTCAACACTGCAATTTCCTTCTCATTAACTGTAGCTTGCAGCACAGAACACTGTAGGCAATGCTGCATAACATAAGCAGATTTTGGTGCTTCAGTTTTCTTAAGAAATGTAGGAAGATTCTTTGAAAATCTTCAGACTTCTATCAATTTGGGGTTCTGCTTATTTGTTTTAGTTCTCAGCTGTGTCCGGCACTGTACTGGTTGCTACACAAGCCCATTTATCATGGGCTTGCTCCAGCCGCCTATGGTGGCAGAGAATCATTGGCTTCAGAGGTGGAGATTGAAGGGTGGCTTCCTGTGTTACATCTTCTTCCAATGTGAGCTCCTTGTTGCTAATGTACTACATGTCAGTGTCTTGGCTCCAAGGAGAAAACTTTTTTCCTGCCCGAAGTGAAGCAGAAAACTCCCAATGGCATTAAAAGTGTGCCTTTATTTGAAGAAGCATGTGGCAGATGCACTCGTGGAAGAATCGGAACCACCTGTTCTTCCCTGTAGTCTAACTCAGGAAGACTCTGAGGTATAGATGGTGTTGATTTGTTTAATTTATAGAAGTTATAGTTTCTTTTTTTTTAAACTTTTTTATTTTAAAGAGATTAAGACAAAAGAGGACGTAACAAAGCAGATCAGAACAAAACAATGTAAGCAACACGGCACTTCACCACAAGACAACCCGATATTAACAGTAACTACCATAATGTCTCTTTCTTTGAAATAGTTGAGCATAACTTCATATACAATAATATCAAACATAACAAAATAGTATAAAACCATTCAAGAGAACGAGAGTATTACAGGGCTTTCAGAACCAAATAATAAAAAACGAACAATGGCTACTCTATTATCTCATTTTCCATAGAAAATTTGTTTATACTATCACACATAATACAATCCAATAAGATACAATATGATAGAGCCAATCAAAACAGAAGAGCAAGAGCATGGTAGGACTTCAGAGTAGGATGATATTAAATCAGCACTGGCTATTATAATGACTTGTTTTCTTCAAAATAGCTGTTCATACTATCATAAATAATAAAATCAAACAACCCAGAATAAAACCATTCCCACTAATGAATGTAAACATTATAAGGCTTCAAAGCAATGTAATGGGGAATCGTGATTGCCATAAACACTTATGTACTCTTACCATATCTTACACTAGGGAGAGTATATGATATTTATACATGTGAGTTTGATTTATTTTGCTTATGAGTATGGTCTCAAGTTGTGCCCGTTTATTTATAAATATCTCAATGTAATCAAGAAGTTATAGTTTCTGACTGCAGGAGATGTTGATTAGTATCCTTGACTTGGCGATGTCAACTTGTATGGTCATGGATTTCTTCTCTCCTGAACAATTTGCACCCAAAAATAAACCTCTGTTGACTTTTGGAATTCCAGAGAGCTTCTAAACAGCTCTCGTTCCTTTTGTTTCTCAGACACGTGGGAGATGGCGTGCAAAAGCCCTTCTGTGTGTGTCCTTGGTGCAGGAGAAACTGAGCAAAGATGCACTTCAAACTGAGGCTCCAAAGAGAAGTGAGGGGGCGAGGCCTTGTCCCGAGGTCATGTCTAAGGGAGAAGCCCCTCCTGGCCCTTCCACCCTAACAGGGGTGCCTCTGACCAAGGAGCACTAGTAGGACTTTTGCTGAAGGTTGGGTGCAACCTCATGTCCTCGCTGCCAGACAGGGGCCCTCGGATCCCAGCCACTGCATCCCACTGTGTGAGCCATTGCTAGTCTCAAGTTCTTCTCTGCTCTGCCCTTTTCATCTGATAAGTGAAGAATTGCCATCATTTTAGCACTGAATAACATTCATTATTCAGTATCTGTGATGAAAGACCTATTTACACCCAGGCACTCCCTCCAAAACCATGCTGAGGCGATCTTTCTATTATCAAGAGGCACCTGGTCCTGATTTATACCTGCAGATGCAGAAAATAAATGGAGAATGGGCTGAGAAGAACTCAGCTGGAAACTTTTTAAAAGCCTTTCTATAGTCAAGGGCCCTGAGTCAGTGCACAAGAAAGAACTTCCAAAATTATCTAAGACAGTCACCCCTGCAGATTGGGTTCACCCTCACCATCTGAACACTGCGACTTCACAGAATAATAGAAGCTATTTAGCTTAGTGGGCCAGGTTCATTAGCTGGCTTGAATGGAAGAAAATCCCAATGCTAGGAGGCCTGTAAGCCTGGACGTGTTTAACATTTCAGCAGTTTCCTCTTACCCTTTGCTCGCATGGCACAAAACCAGCTGTGATCCACTACACGTGTGAGAGCTTCAAGCGCTCACCTACCAGGTCCGAAGGAAAATGCCCACCAGGGGTCCCACCTGCTCTGAAGTCACACAGGGAGCCCTGGGAGAGCCCTGGCTGCAGTCGCCTGCAGGCACTGATTTTAATGCTGGATCCTCTTCTCAGGTCTTTGATCGGAGTCGGAACTCCCCCAGGTCTCCTTTCTCACACACACGTGAGTAGTTCGCATCTGCTTTCATCCATCCCCAGAGCTCAGGTGCACATGCCTGGTGCTGTGGAGAGCGGCTGCAGTTCCAAGTGTGCTGCAGGCTCGTGGAGCACAGCAGGGCCCAGCAGGCGCCCTCAAGCTGCGCTGATCTCTTGCCAGGAACAGTCTGATTGTAGAGGAGGCTCAGGTCAGCAGGGAAGTGACTCCCAGGGTCCAAACCTGGGCTGCTTCAACTCAGCCTCTTCTCTTCACACTGATCTCCCATCTCAAAATAGCACTTTCATCTGTCAACTTCCCGGACTTGATATAAAAATGCAGACAAAGATTTGAACATTGCACGCTGTGTTTTTGTGTTTGCCAGCTTCAGAAATAGTACAGGAAAAAGAACTGGCAGAAAAGTATCCATCCCCTCTCCTAGGTCTGTTTAGTCAAAGCTTCCTGACGGGCCTTCACCTCTGTCTGCAGCTGACCCTGACAAAACTGTGGCTGTTCTCATCTCCATGGGCCAGGGCCCTTGGGGTCCACTGGCCCAGAGCAGTCTCCCTAGGGAGCACAGTGCTGTCCCTGGGCACAGCTGGAGTGGGGAGTAGACAGAGGTGGCTG